TACGGACTCATTAGAAACCTTCTTTTCTAACGCTGACTCGACGGCAACTACTTCAACTGACCATGTAACTCAAGCTAACATTACTACTGATCCATCGATGGAAAATATTAATGAGCGAGCTATTGCAGAAAGTATTCCTAATAGTCCTCAAGGCAACAAACCTTATCATTGTGGATTTAGTACAAACCAGTCTGAACCTTTCTATGCTGAAGAACAAAAATCCGTTGTTAGTGAAATTCTTTCACACACGGAGAATGATCAAGCTCCAAAAAGATCTCGCCCGAAGCCAAACATTGACCCCCTTAAAACTACTTGGGATACTCCAGAAGAATATGAGCATATGGTTCAACAAAGACAAATTCATCAACTTCTTCAAAAAACTACGAGTTCTCAGCAAGATGATAGTAGTGAATGGATGCATTCAAATGTTTCTTCCGCTTCTACCGTGGCATCTGAGTATGTTTATGATCACATGGATAGTCTTATCCCTCTTTCTACTCCACAATCTGCCGTAACCATCCCGGATTATTTCACCGAGTACACTTACAGCCCTACAGTTAGTTCCGTGATTAGCGAAAAAGATGCCATTGACAACAACGAACCTTTGAATCCGACTTCCTTCGCTAATGTTCGTCGTAATTCCTGTCCCGAGTTAATGGTTTCGATTCTAAACATGAAGCTCGGAACTACCGAAGAGAAACGATCCCTTTCGACCATTATTGAGGACGAAACACTTTATAATGATGCTAACTTGCATCAATTTTTAGCCGTTCCTACTCAAGTAATTATTTTAATTAAAGTATTAAATCAAATTTTAAAGTGAATAAAATGATTAAAACGTTTATTTAATTTTTAGGTGAAGCGCCGTTTTTCTGAACCTATCAATCGATACATATCTAATGTTTCAGATTTTCATTCCGGACACGGACATTCATTGGGAACGACCATGTCAAGTATGACATCCAACCAAGCATTTTCGTTCAATTTGTTAGGAAGCAACCAACCACATGACAACAATGTCAATTCTGCGCCAGAATTGCTTAGAGGACATAGCTTAGATTCGACAGTTTGGCCCACTCTGAAGGAACGTCAAATGTGGAATTATGGTATGGATCTCAAGGCTGCCAAATTGCCTATCGTTGATACCACTGATTTAAAGGTTAACGATGGTAGTGCTATTGGTGTTGCACATTGGAGTCCTTTAACCCCTTCCGAAATTGATGCTAATTCTGTCAATTCCAGTATGACTATGACCATGACCGATGAAATGGGTTTCATGCATTTGTATGGTAACTCGAATGATCAAGTGGTCAGATAACTTTTTAATAATTTTATGTTATATGAAAAAAGAAAGGCCAAGCGAGATTAAAAATTTAAAATAAAAAGGTAACTTGGGTAAGCAATTGAAATAAGTTACGAGCCATAATTTCTCGTTTCTTCCTGTTTTGCTTCTCATTTCATACCTTAATTTATATTATATAAGATTTTTTTTTTTTTTAATATCCACTGCTCTTCATTTTTCGAAGGGTATAATATATATATATAAAATTTCCGTATTTTTATATGGGAACTTACTATATATATAACCTTGTATTATATCTATTTTTTTTTATTTATGAGTATGATTTCTCTTTTCATTTTCTCCTTTGTAAATCTCATCACCCTTTTTGGAGGTATTACCTCTTTTGTAAATAGCCATCATCTATTCTCGCAAAGGCCTCTGTAAGATTATTATTATTATTATTATTATTATTTTTTTTTACGGGCGAATCCGGAAGGAACGATTTCGCTTGATAGAAAGAATTAATTTTATGGACTTTAGGAATTTTTAGTTATATACGGTATGAATTCAATATCAAGAATTTTTTTTTTTTTTTTTTTTAACTTGAGAGGTACTTGGGATGCAATCGTTTCGGTTCATGCTTTGTAAATTTCACATGATTGATATCAATCAAGTATCTACTCGCGCACTCACTTTATTTCATTTCCTTTTTTTATTTAGTTTTTTTTAGTACATATTTTTTTCTTTTTTATCTCAAATCCTTTTCTCGTACATATCTTTGGTGGGTTAAATTTTTGTTCAAATTTCAAATTCCCATTCCACCGACTTTTCCCCTTTTTTTTTTTTTTTTGTCATTTTTTCTCTTTTCCATTCCTTTCTTCCTTTTTTAAATATGTTTTTTTCTGTGTATAACTGAAACAATTTTTTTTTTGTAAATATAAATACAGTAAATTTATGTATATGGTATTTATTTGTGATTAACAAACTTTCCAAGTCACTCTTTCCTTATTTTTTGTGGTCTGGGGATATCTTTTTTTTTCTTGGTAATTAAATGAAAATTGCAAGTTTTTTTTTTTTTTTTTCCTTTTTATATAGATATATTTATTTATTTATGATTTGACGCGCGAGATTGACGCGATCATAATACATCAAAAATGCATAATTGATATAAAAAATTTTGACACGGAAATCATAATTGATTCGCAAATAAAATATTGCACTTTTTTTTATTATGCGACCGAGAATGAAATAACAAATTACATATGGGTAGATTGCTAGGAAAATCAGGTTCCGGGAATTTTTTAGCAAAATTGAGATTTTTATTGCATTTTAGTTTTTGATGTAATTAGATTAAAATGTATTAAGCTCTTAATTTTAGTCAAAAATTTCTCGGAACCTGATTTTCCTAGAAACACTCCCATATATAGTAAAGTAAATACATGGATGGCATAATTCGATCAATTACATTACATGTTTGTAAACCAGCTGTGTGTTGAACACGTGAGAAGGAATGATTGGTTGATTTTTGATTGATTGATTTTCATTGATTATATCACATATAACATATAACAAATCATGTCTTACATATCACATTTCCATATCACTGTTTCTGTCACATAAATATTTTCCTGCAAAACAAAAAGTAAAACAATTGAAAATAAATTTGAATGTTTATATTATTAGAAATTGTAGAATAGGTAAAAATTATTTGATTGTACTGTTAAATGTCGATCACATTTGGTGAATAGTTGTTTCGGGGTTAAGAGTCCTTTTTGATTGTTTTCTTTTTTTTTTTTTTTTGGTCAGTTTATTTTGTGATTTATTTAGGATCAAAAAACAAGGTTGGTCGTTCAATCTGAAAAAAAAAAAACGCCCATTTCCCATTTTTGAAGGTTGGTATAACCTACTGCGGTGCATGAGAATTGGTGTAACACTTAACATCTATTTCTTTTTTTAAATCATTTTTGGAAAAATCTTTTGTAGAAAAAAGACGAACAGATTAGGAAATAGAAGAATAACCATAATAATAAAATGATTCACACTTCAAAACGACCAACACCTCGTTGTTTTTATATAATAACTCTTTCACTTTTTATGTCTTCGTTGTACATAACACTTTCGTTTGGTGGATTATTACCATCAATTTTTGTAACCACTTCAAAAATCTATGAAGAAATATATGAAGCAGATACCTTAGACTTCTTGATCATAGGTGATTGGGGAAATTCTGGTGTAGGCAAAGATTTAAAGCACGGACCTCAAGCTAATGTTTCTAAAGCGATGGAATACGTTGCGAATAAGTATGATAGTAAATTTATCGTGAACGTTGGTGGTCCGTACAAGTATGATTTCAACAGATAAAATTTAAAAAAAAAATTGAAAAAAAAAGAATAAATTAAATAAATATATTATTATTATTATTATTTTTTTTTTTTTTTTGATCAGATAATTTTTATAAAAGGTCTGCAAAAGATTACCAAGGAATACTTAGCGTCAATGATTCAAAATGGGAAGAGATCTGGTTAAAGGTATATAATAGTACAAATTTAAGAAGGCTTACGTGGTATACGATAGCTGGCAATCATGATTGGTTAGTAAAAATTTATCTTGAAAAAAAAAAAAAAAATGAATGAATGAATGATTTTATTGAATTGGGAATTAAAAAAAACAAGGAAAAAAAAAAAAAAAAAAAATTTTTATTTTTGATATCACGTCGTTATTTTAGGTATACAAACGTCACAGCCCAAATTGATTATAGTCTGACCGTAAACTCCCGATTTTTCTTTCCTTCATTATTTTATGTTCGTTCAACTTTATTTGGAAAGGATTTGAATCTAAAAGCGGTTTGGATTCATATCGATACAAATATCTTTTATTATGATGTTGATTCAATCGTAGAGATCAAAATGGAAGGATTAAAATCCAACCTTTTGAATTTTGGATTTCATACTCAACAAGCGGTAGAAGAAAAATTCAAGTGGATAGAGCAAAGCTTAATAGATAATCAGGATGCGGATTATATTTTTGTTATAGGTGAGATCTCAAGTGAATTAACAAGTGATAGACATTTTTTTACTAAGTTGATTTTTTTTTAATACATATTGAAAGGACATCATCCATTGATTGGAATATGTTCACAAGTGAATCATATGCCACGACTTCTTGAATTATTGGAAGAATATTATGTGAGCGCGTATTTTTCCGGTCATAACCATGTGTTAGAATACAAATCACCGATTAAATCTTCCCCCGTAGCCTTTTTTATTTCTGGGGCCGGATGTAAAACTGGGTTTGGATGTGAGGGAAAAGATTGGGGAATGCCGAGAGGAGCATATGGGTTTGTACACGCAAACATTAAGGAAGAAACGATGGATTTTGAATTTGTAGATGCTACTAAATTAAATAAACTTTCTGCTGGTAAGATAGTTTATAATGGAACGATAAATTCTCGATCATATTGGTATCCCAAATTATAACATAACATAAGACTTTTGAAGAAACAAAATAAAAGTTTATAAATTAATCTAATGTAATATTTTATATATTTTTTATTTATTTATATCAGTATTATATTTTATAGAGTTTTTTTTTTTTTTTACTACAAGATAAATTATTACAAAACTTCTCTCTCTTTCTCTCTTTTTTGAGAGAATATATTAAATTCTATATATAATTACCGACAATAAATTAAGGAACTTTATTGAAAGACGTAATTAGGTTAGTGATATCGACAGCGACGTTCATAAGTTTTACGAATAGCATCATCAAGTCGTCGTGTTTCTGCCAACAAAGCTTGTCGTTCATCCGGTTCTTGACGATGAATGTGAATGGTATGGATGATTAATACGACAGCTAATAGCAGGCAGATAAGCTAAAAAAAAAAAAACGAATATTATAATTAACATCATTACATGAAGAGAATTTTCAAAGGAAGTGGATACGTACTTCTAATAATCCTAAAACTACTCCTACAATTCCAATCGTTTGTAAACTATATGTTAAAGAAAATTTCATTGATTCATAACATGGCGTATAATATGTACACGGAAGTACGACGCGATCAGAAAGGCTATTAAATCCGCAACAATGGAAATAATTTTCTACATCAAGTATAAGTTGTTTATCATCCTGGAATGCTTTTGACCATGACTTGTCAAGGATTGAATCAACCTTAATAAATTGGGAAGAAAATTTTAATAACAATCACTTGAAACGGGCAAGGAATCTTTGATATTGAAATTTTTACTTACATCTTGATGATATGCGAAGGCGATACTACCAATAACTGGTGAAGAAGAAAATAAAATTTAGAACTTGATATGTATTTCTTGTAAAATTAAAAAAGTTTAACTTGATTCAAATATTATGCTTACCGATTTGAAAGATTATGCATATGAATAATGATATTACGTAAACCTTCAAGAAAGTAATCTTTTGATTTGCTGCGCCATAACACCCTACCGAAAAGTAAATTTCAATTTTAAAAAAGTGGCGAGATGTTATTAACAACAAATCTCCTTACCTAAGAAACTGACAAGCGAAATCAGTCCACCCAAAGAAATAAGAACGTGTGGAAAATGATACTCAATGGTCGACGACGTCACGTGAGATACCTCAGATTCAGTACTGAAGAGATAATATCCTAATTGTAATTTTTTAAAAATGTAATTGTAATTTAACATTCAAAATATTCAACGAAGACGAGCATGAAATATAAATTTTTTTTAATTTTATTAATAATAACGTACCTACAGCAATTAGAATAAAACCCGAAAGCTGGATAAAAGATTTTTTTTTAAAAAAAAAAAAACAAAAAAAAAAAAAAAAAATGAAAAGGATATTTTTTTTTTTTGGTTACATTAAAATGACTTTTTTTAAAAAAATTTTCATACCAATGATAAAAAGTTCAACACCACGATCACATTTTTTATCGCCGCAAATGTAAAGGAACCTTTACCCATATTTTATTTTGTTTTTAAAAAAATATTTATTCGGAGAAAAAAAATAAAATGGGAATTCTTTTAAATCTGAACTGAATAAATAATATAAATAAATAAATAAAAGTCCAACCCTTTGTTTACAATAAATATCCATAAAAGGGTAATGAAATTAAGGTTTACAAAAAATGTGGGAATAAATTTTGTCAGTAAGGTTGATCCAAGTTCATAACTAATCATTTAAATCTCGAAAAAAGAAACCCTTATTACCATAAGTGGCTTAAATTCTCAAGATCTTTATCACGAACCGCAGGACAGGGTCCCTTAAATTCAAAATAATAATATGACATAAGAAAATTAATTTATACTATTTGAATCATGGTGTAAATACAACACTATCACTATCATTCTCGTTTTAGACAGGAATTCCTTATTAATATCATGAAATATTTTTAGTTAGTTGACATTTCAAGTCAAAGGTTTCAAGAATTTAACATGTTTATTCGATAACAAAAAAAAAATTTTTTTAATAACCAATGCTTGAAATAGAAAATAGTGGGAAATCTCAAAGTTACAAACATCTGGTTGAATTCAATTCAGAATCCATTTTTAGTCCTGGAAGAATCATGTTTTACTAATATGGGGGAAATTCTTGTGATCAATGGTGCGAAATTCTAGAATCATATGATATTTATGACGACAGTTTCTGCGCCAATATTATTGTTAATCAACAAAAAATATTTTCTCGTTTTTCCTCAACTTTCTATAAATGCTAAAATTCACAATTTTGAAAAGTTTCTAAAGGTAAAACCTTTGTAGAAAGGATACCTTCAACAACGACTCAAGTATTTCGAAGACAGTCGCGAGGCTGTTAAAAAAAAAGAAGTATGATAAACTTGTACTATGGTAGGCAGTCAGGCATTTGCAACAATTTCCGGATCGTTCTGCGCTCCATTCGAAAGTTTCTTTGTTAATAAAAAACCTGGAGGTTAAAGAAACAAAGGAGCCTAGGTTGTTTGTTGGTCATAAGCCTAGGTTCTAATACAACTTCTGTTATAATCATAGTCTCCTGAAATTTTCACACTTAATTAGGACCCAAGCCGAAGGTATAAATGAAAGTATGAATCTGTAGAAGCTAAAAAACATTTGATTATATAACTATGTCATTTTTGATTTCTGCCGCTTGATTTCCTCCTTATGGTTCTTGTGTTGGCGGGTTTCTAAGCGTTCTTGATTTCCTCCTTGTAGCCCCTGTGTAGGATTCAAGCACGATTTGATTTCAGTCTTATGGCCTTATAATAACGAATGAACTATTGAAATATATAGGTAATTTGGACAATTGATTAATAAATACTATATCAACTTTTTTTTGATTCAGATAAAAAGACAATCAACACGATCTGATAATAAGGAGACCACCAATATGGCGAGATGAAGGAATCAATGATGTTTTAAACTTTGATCTCGCTTATCTTTGTTGTCTCGACCCTCAAAATGTGAACTCAAAAATCATCTGGGCGTTATATCCAAATCATTTTAAAAAAGAAATTATATTAATTAAACGTCCAAGTCTAGATTAAAGAAAGGGTTATTTCTATAAAAAATAAAATAAAATAAAATAAATAAAATAACCCAATTGTTTTTCTAGTTAATTTAATGTTAAAATTTATTATATATTTCAAATTAAAGTTTTTTATCTAATAATAACAGTAACAAGTTTTTGTATTGAAAAAAAAAAAAAAAAAAAATTTTACCTATTTTAGCATTTAAGCTTAAATAAATAAGTTTGAACCTTTTTTAAGTTATATTTTATAATCTCTAATAATATAAAATTTTTTTAAGAATCTGAAAAAAAAATTTTTAAATAAAAGTATTTTAGAATTATTATTTTAATATTTATTATAAATATAAATTATCTTAAAAATAATTATTATTTATAAAAAAATTAATATAAATTATATTTTTATAATAAAATTATAATAATCAAATATAAAATAGATTAATTATAATAATCAAAAATTATATTTCTTAAATAATAGCCATAATTTGCTACATTATTAATTAATTTTTATTTTAAAAAATATAAATTATAATAACTATATATTTTTTTATAATTTAACTTATATTTTTTGATAATTAAAATCTAAATATATAAATTTAAATATAATTTTATATTTTGATATATTTTATATAAAAAAATATTTTTATAATAATTTTATTATATTATTTACATAAGTTAAAACATAATCATTCAGAAGAATCATTATCTAAATTAATTTTGTATAATAATCAATACTTAAATAAGCATTAGACTTAATTTATATTATCTGAATTTTTATTATATAAATATTTATTAATATAATTCAGATAAATAAATCATTAAGCAAAAATGAATTTCTTTTGATATACAATATATTATATCATTTATTTATTAAAATTATAGCCAAATATTAAACATGTTTTTATTTACTAATAAGAATATATCAGAAATATATTTGCTATATATATTATAAACTGGAATAATACAATCTCTTAACAGTTCATAAAATTCATTATTCTAAGTTTAATATTATATAAACAATCATCTTC